CAACATTGTCATTGACACTCCATTAAAAATGTGGATGTTTATTTGACAAGCTGAGCCAGAAAGACTGCTCACTTTATGGCTTGAATGATTTACTGCCTGATAAGTTGTTCAGCCTCTCAGGTCATTTACTTGGTATTTTCAGATTTAACAGAGACGTTATTTCAGTTTAATTTGAGACCTGGCCTTTATCTAGGAGGAAGCTCCCTGATTATCAGGCTGTAAGTGCAGTAGGGCTATAGCTAAATAACCACTGTAGCACTTCTGAATACTAACTGATTAGGTTAGATGTCACCTATGTTAGGTGTGATTTTAAGGTCTCAAAACTTTTGATCCTTGTTTGCGTTAAGGTTCTTATTACCTAATTCTGATTATAAATTCTAGTCCTTATTTTGACACAATGCCAGCTAAGCACAGATGAATGAGCAATTGTACAGGTTCCAGGAGAAGTGGTCACACTTGCTTTGCTCCTCCCTGGTTGTTCTGAACTGAGTTAAGCCATGGCTTGGGTTAGTATGTCATCCAAACCAGGGCTCATGGTTTAACTCTCCCAGACAATCCACAAGCTGTAAACTGTAGGACAAACCATGGTTGCAGCTTGCTGTTTGCTTGGACAGAACTAAACTATGAGCTGTGGTTCATATGGCACACTAAGCCAATCCATGGCTTAGCTCAGTGAAGCACAGCAGCAGAATGACCAGAAGAGGAGCAAAGTGGTCACAATCTCTTATCCAGCAGCCCAAATGGTTGCCTGTTCACACTAAGTCATGGTTTGGCTTAGCGTTTTGCATGAACCAGGCCCTAGTTTGCATAAATGTATAACACAATGGAAAGGACGCGGGTGGCGCTGTAAGTTAAACCACAGAGCCTAGGACTTGCCGATCAGAAGGTCAGCGGTTCGAATCCCCGTGACGGGGTGAGCTCCTGTTGCTCGGTCCCTGCTCCTGCCAACCTAGCAATTCGAAAGCACGTCAAAGTGCAAGTAGATAAATAGGTATTGCTCCAGCGGGAAGGTAAACGGCGTTTCCGTGCGCTGTTCTGGTTCTCCAGAAGCGGCTTAGTCATGCTGGCCACATGACCCAGAAACTGTACACCGGCTCCCTTGGCCAATAAAGCAAGATGAGCACCGCAACCCCAGAGTCGGCCACGACTGGACCTAATGGTCAGGGGCCCCTTTACCTTTACCTTTATAACACAATGGAATCCAAACTACATTTCTAAGATGAGGAAATGTGTTTTTCAGGTAATAATAGCATTATTTTGAGCCAGGGTTTCTCAGACGTTCTACTAAGCCAGGCTTTGCAGGCAGAGAGCCCCTGGTTCAATCCCCAGCAGGTATTTGAAACGGAGGGTGTTTCTCGTGGGATCTGTGTTGTTTACTCATGCAAGGCCTTTTTTGACAACACTGCTGTCAAAATGCTATTCTGTATTCACCCTGCCCCATTTCATTAGGATAATTTATCTTCCCATAGAAAATCTGAGAAGTTAAATCAAGTTGTTGCCAACAACATTTGAAGGATGCATTTGCAGTATGAAGAATAGGCCACTGTGAGAACAGGATGCTGAACTGGATGAGCCATTGGCCTGATCCAGCACTCTTCTTATGTTCCTATGAAGCCCCTGTCTGGAAGTGCCCTGAATCTCTGAAGAGAACTGCTGCCAGTCAGTGCAGACCAGGGTCTGGTAGGAGATAGTTAGGTAGATCTCTGGTTTGCAGTAGCTCAGCAAAAGTTTCTGACACCCAGTTATTTTTATAGTAACAACAACAAAAAGGCTCCCTCTTCCTCCAGACTAAGACTTCTGAAAAGAAGCAAGCTTGGGGGGAAACCAGGACTGGATTTTTCTGTGACTTGACTGTGATCTTATTTTCAATACATAACACTAATTCCTGGTTCAGAGGCACACTATTCCTTAATTCTGAGGATGTGTCTGCCCCTGTCCTCAGGCTAATATTTTGACTGGCTCTGATTGTTGGCCCTTTGGGGTTTTAGTGAAAAACAAAGTAGCTCTCATAAGCCTAAAGTCTCCCACACCTGGTGGCTGAGCTAGAACACTACATTACTGAGCTTGATGGACCAGTGGTCCCAATCAGTATATGACAGCTTCCTGGTTTCTAACGATCAGAGGGGAATATTATATAGACTGCAGATGGGACTCACATGCATATAGAAACATTCCCTGCATATACAAAATAAATGTGTCAGGGGAGAGGCTAGACTAGAACTTTTCTCCCGGGCATTAAGTTGTATTTGAAGGAGAAAATATTTTATATGTAGGACTATTCAATCATATGAGTCCATAACTGCAGTCTTTGTTCAGGACAGACACAGCTTTATCACAATGAGAAATAAAGCCTATTAATCTGATCACTTTTTATCCAAGTGAGGACTTTAGGATTTTTATAGTTTAAAAACTGACACTGTCCCTTTCCTTTGATACCAATAGGCCAATGAAGTTACATATAGTATACTGGGTGGAAAAGTAGCTTCTGCCGCATAATTGTTCTGAACATGCTGTTACCATTCACATTGTTTGACTAATCAATGAAAGAAATGCTTCTCTGACTAGGAGATGGGGCTTGTGTTAAAACCTCTATTAAGAAATCTTCAGAGGTCTGTTCATTTGATGAGTCATAACTCAGATTAAAATTTATTTCCATAGCAACTAAAAATCATTCGTTCTTTCCCTAGAAACCACCAGAGTACATCAGTGCATTAATATATGCATTCCCAGTTTTTATTGAAGATGGAGAAATACACTTATGAGGAGTACAGTTCTGGTCACCACACCTCAAAAAGGATAGTGTAGTACTGGAAAAGGTTCAGAAAAGGGCTACCGAAACGATCAAGGGGGTGGAGCAACTTCCTTATGAGGAAAGGTTAAAACATTTGGGGCTTTGCAGTTTAGAGAAAAGACAAGGAAGATGGAGGTGTGTACAATTGAGCATGGTGTGGAGATGCCAGCACTGCCGCAAGGTGCTGATGTTAGGGTGAGGGCAGTGTCAGTGCTGCCGGCAAGTTCACATCTTCCTGGAGCAGCAGGGAGTGGGGGGGTTTCCTGGTAGCAGCACCAAATGGAGTGGATTTTGTGGTCTGTGCATGTGTACTGGTTGGCACCAGCCTGTTAAGGACATACATATGTCAGCTGGTATACATGCACCAAACATGCCCAGAGCTCTACTCAGCACCACAGTTCACCCCACTAAACAAAGCATAGCAAGAACAAAAACCAACTTACATGAATTTCTCAATGCAGCTTTCCACAGAAGCATGATATTTGTTACTTAAATCCCAAGAGAAAAGAGTGGTATATAAGTATGATTTAGTTCCCTGGTCTTGAACTTAGCCAATGCTTTACTGTGGGTAACGTTCCTGGTTCAGACCTCTACCTGGGTGGCAGAGGCTGTTCTCTGACTCCTTCTGATCCTACCTAAGGTATGTCAAAGTGTTCCATTGAATAGGTTTCTGCCCCAAAACAGTGGTGTTGGCTTTGAAAGCAGCCTCTGATAACTGGCACGGGAATATTGTCCTGTTGATGCACTATTATATTGTGCAAAAGATAGCTAGGGAATTTGCATACGGCACAGTGAGATGATGTTGACAGTTGTGAGTTGAGAAGCTTCTGTGTTCACACTCTGAGTGCATTTCTTTGGGAATGGAGCCATAGTGAATTTGGCATTTTCCCAGTTTCGGGTACCATCTAGTCTACCAGAGTTAGATCAGTATGGGGATTTATGTATACATGTGGGCTTCCATCCTGTTTAAGGAAGCTTCTTGTTCACACATGTGCATGTCTTGTGTGTGGCACCATTCAAAGAAAATAAAGATGTTGAACATGTTGAACTTCATGAATGGTCCACATAAAGTCACCTTTCCACCCACTTTCACATTCAGAGCTCATATTCTGTATTTCTATATTGCTAAATTTGATTTCTGAACCAAGGAGGAAGATTGTGCTGATTGGTTTACGGCTACTGATGGATGGGAGGGGAGGCTGCTCCCCAGTGCTTGATGTTACATTCAAAACATTTCTGGAAAAGTATGGAACTATGGGTAGCTGATATGGCAAACAGACATACTTGCCTGGTATAATCATAATACAGTAACACTCAAATATAATATCAGAATAAAGCAAGTCTTTCAGTAATAAGAAATTGCATCTTTGGGCAATGATTTGGTGCAAATCCTAAAATGGTTCTGTGAAGGATTTGAAGCTTAAACATTTTGGCTGAGAAAGGGCCCGTGTTTTGTTTCACTCCTCCTGCCTAAACAGTATGTTTCTTGATATGTGGAATCTTGTTTAGTAGTAGATTGTACTAATGAAAATATATAATCAGTGGATCAGCGCTTAAGTTTTTTTTTTAATTAAAAAATCAACATTAAATTCTGGAATAAAAATATAACAACATGTACTGTATAATTCTCAGATTTTATTGTGTAGCAGAAAAGTGTCTTTACAGTTTGACAAACTGTGTGTAAACAAAATGCTATAATAATGCCAGCGAACCAATACTTTCAGTAAGATTTACAGAGAAAGACAAGTACAATCAGGTACTAACAATAGCATGAAACTGAAAGTTTTCCTTTTCTCCTGCTAATCAAAGCTAACTACCTTCTGTGTGAATTAGGCTCAACTCATATACCTGGGAGTAAGTCCCCCTGAACACAGTGGAGCTTACTGTATTTACACGAATCTAATGTGCCATCAAATCTAACGCGCACCTCTATTTTCAAATCCTTTAAACCAAAAAAGTATTTGCTGGTGACATCAAATCTAATTTGTACCCTGATTTTCACGACGTAATTTGGCCAAAAAAAGGTGTATATTACGTTCGATTAAATACAGTCCTTCTGAGTAGACATGTATAGGAGCTCTGTTAGTTGCTTTGTCCCTGTAGCCTCCCTATGCTTTCCATCTGAAACCTTCCTTTTCTGTTTTTTCCCTTTTACTTTCTTTCTTTTTGTTTTGTTTACTGCATTGTTTATCCATCCACCGGCTGACAGTGTCTTTACATCCAAAATGCAAAGCAGACAGATGGGCGCTTCAGGACAGAACATAACTAAGAGCACCAGCATCAGCGGGGAGATGTACACACTAGAGAAGAACGATGGCAGCCAATCTGACACAGCAGTGGGCACTGTGGGGACAGGTGGCAAAAAGCGGCGCTCCAGCATTGGTGCAAAGATGGTTGCAATCGTGGGCCTTTCGCGGAAAAGCAGAAGTACCTCCCAGCTCAGCCAAACCGGTAGGAACAAGATTCCCCCACCTCCCCCCATTGTGGTGTTGTTCCTCATGAGACATAAACTGCATTGTTATTATTAACTAAATTTCTAGGTGGAAAAGACTGAGCAAGTTTAAACTTATTATCTTTCAGTGTTTTGTCAAGCCGTTTTATTTAACCAGAACCTCATTCAGACCGGACTACTGTGGATCGTATTTGTCTGCTCACTGGACCGCACTGAATGCAGTAATCTTTTTTTCCCTTTCAGGAAGCAACCTGACTTGCTGGGTTTATATTCTGGGAATTGTTACTAATGGTTCGTGAAAGACAGCTGAAATGCTGCCGGTGCATTTTCTTTGCCTCTCCCCTTGTCCCCTCCCTTAAATGCGTCTTATGACTATGTTCTGCGTTTCTTTTGCTGTGGGATAGTATTTATCATCTTCAAGGTTGTCCATTGTATTTTAGGCACACTAAATTACGACTCTACTTCTTGTTACTTTTTATTTCTTTTCAGCTTCAAAATGTACTTATAATTGCAGTAAATCACCGTAACTGGTTACAGGTTAAAGTTAGATCTGCTATTCAGCATTTATTTAGTGCCACCAGATTGTTAGGTGCTATATATAAATTCCAACTTCTGAGTGTTCTAGAGAAGAGGGGGAACATTTTTAAATACTTTTAGACAGAAGTGCAAAGCAGGCAACTGAAAGTACATATCTATATTTTATTTTACACCGTTTCCATTTTTTTGTTTAATATTTGGTTTAGACTGTGTATAATTCTGCCCTCAGTCCTTCAGTTGAAGGGCGGATTTATAAGTACTTTTAACAAACAAACAAATCTATAATGAGGTATTCATCCTGCTTTTAGATATGCCCAGGTTATATTCCAGTCTAATCAGCATTTGGAGATTGAAAAAACAACATTGGTGTATAGCTAATACAGCGAGCCATATTACCTTACATTGAATTTATTGCACAAGCAAATCATGTTGCTTGTGAATGTGTATTTGTGTGTGTGTGTGTGTGTGTGTGTAATTTGTATTTCTGGACTCCACAGAAAAAGTTAGCATGTCTTCAAGAACACTAGAGTACTTAATAGTGCATGTCTCTGTGCTGCCTAGCATTAAGAGAGCCACCCGGGTTTTTAAGGCTATTTAGTTTTAAAGTATGGTGTGAAAGCAAGTGTTGTAGCATCATCTTTAGATAGATCAGGTGAATATGAGTCGTTTAAGATTAAATTAGCAGTGTAATTATAAGGAATATTTTAAACAGACAAGGTCTCTAGAGGGCAGTGTTACTTGGACTGTTAAATAAGTTCTGCTGAGTTTTTAAGATTAATTTTCAGCAATGCTAACTTGCTTCTACAGGTATCATACTGTCTAGCCATTTCTCCTAGTTATGTGAAGTCATATCAAAATACACAAGATGGAGTTAGATAGCAGTACATATCTGTAAAGGGTCATACTATAATTAATGCTGCCCTAAGATCTTCATGTCTCCCACATGTAGATTGCTAAACAGGTGGATGCTGTTTATAAAATGCTCATTTTATAAATAGTGCATGTTACAGTTGGGTAACATGAGGTTTTATATTGAATTTTCTTCCCTTATCAGATTATTGGGAAGATATTTATTTAGCGGGGGGGGGGGGGTACAAGCTGCCACTTGGATGAGAAGGGTCTTGTGTGGGTACTGCAATAAAATATAATAAAATAATAAAATAGGGGCACAAGCTATTTCAGTATTAAACTCTGTATTACACTCCAATGTGAACAAGCCTAAAGACTGTGACTCTTCAGCTCTTTGGTCAAGTTGACATGTAAAAAGGTAGTGGGATTCATACAGGCTATACAATTTTGCATCCCTCAATACAATGACAACTCTTCCTTTAAGATTTGCCTTTGAATCTCTGCAAACATAACTGATTACAGAAGAACACTGCAGTTTTTTCGCAGAATGGCCTTATGGGTTACAGTTCCCCACAATGTACCTTTCAAACATATATCCAAAAAGCTCATTTTGTTTTAAAGAAAATGGTGTGAGGTGTTTTTTACATGTTCCAAGTCAGTAGTTGGGCTGGTATGCACACAAAGTTGCAGAATATTAATTACTAGTTTACTGGGTAGAACTTCATTGTTAAGTTTTTTGTCAGCAAGGACATTTAATGAAAAGTAAAGGAATGGAGTGCCATATAGTGAATGACATGCACTTTGCATAGTATTTAATATTTAATTATAACCAGGATTGGATTCAGTTGGATGACCAACATGATAAAGCATAATAAATATGATGTAAATTTTAATTTTGTATCATTATACCATCCCCAAATGTCTACGATTTTGGAGAAAATGTTGCCAGACAGTAAAATAAATAACATTTATGTTAAGCAGGCCATGCAATCAGCATCTTGTTTCCCTAATGCTCTAATGGTTAAAATAAATGTATAATGTTGTAGGGGAAAGCTCCTTAATGAAATCATTGGACTCTGGCAGATATGTTCCAGAAGTTAATTTTGTATAACTAGCATGCAGTAGCTGATGTCTTGACTAATATGTAGATGTATTTTTTCCTCCTATTTATCACTGTAAAGTTACGTTGCAGTTTTTTAAATAGTTCTTACAATATGTGTTATGTATATTACAATATACACAACATTAGAAGGGGATATAAATAATACGTAAATATTTTCCAATAATTGGTTGTTGTTTTTTGCACTTCCAAGTTGTGCAACTGACACTACCTCCTTGTTACCATAACTTATTCCAAGTTACTTGTACAACTGTTCCAAGTTATATAGCCTGCTGATTGGGCCAACTGGGACAGAATAAGCACAGTTCTTTACGCTCTCTAGCACATTTGCTCCAGGATCTTGCAAGCTTCTTTTACTATCTGCCCTTACTCTTTTCCCTTGGCACTTATTATATGGCATGTCAGTATAATGTCAACAAAGGCTGTGTTTTGAGGTAAATTGGCCCATAGTAACAAACAAGTGACCCTGTTCTGTAAATTCCAAAATCCAGGTTAGGAAAATACCTTTATTAGGCCAACAGAGAGAGATAGATAGATAGATAGATAGATAGATAGATAGATAGATAGAAGGATAAACGGATAAATTATAATTTGGAATGTTTTGAGTTTCCACGAGCTGTTCATCAGGCTAGATGGTGAACAAAACACAGAGGTGGGGAGTAAAAAATGTAGAGGATAGTAATTCCTTGCATTTGCGTCTGGTTGTAGTCTTAAGGCAGAATGTGAAAGGAACTAGCAGGTAGATGGATAAGGCTGTTTGGGGAGCATTGTAGGCTACACCAAGGCCTTCTGGGGGGGGGAGCATAATTATGGCTGATTCCCAGTCTCTGCAATTACAAAAACTAGCTTTTACCCAGGCCTCTTTCTCTATCCTTAGATGAAACACATGTGTTTCTTGATAGGCAGAAAACAGGAATAAAGAAAAACTAGTCACTCTTTATATTAACAGAAATGGAAATTAATGTTGCTAGGTTTTTTTAAAAGTCAACAGAAGTCTGATAGAGTATCTTTACCTAGCAGTTGGAAGGGATAATAATAATAATAATAATCCTAATAATAGGATGTCCCCTAAGAGAATAAAGCGAGTAATAGGAAGTACATTTTTATTTATAAATATTACTGCTAACCAGTGCTATTACATACTGAGCTGAAAAGCAACAAAGGGTAAATGAACAATAATTACTCCAAAAGCATGTTATGCCACATTAGAGAAATACTCAAATTCTAAATATTTGCCTTGTGAAATACGTGCTTGTGACATCAGTACAACGCTCCTTCAGCGTCAGTATAATCTAATGCTTTGAGATGTTTCCATAATGTACCTTTTCATACATACCAGCCAAAGTGTTCATACACGTAGCTGTGACAGAGCACAGGACTGCATACGCTAATTCAACTACTGCAACATCTCTTTTAAATATGACAGAAATGTTTTTCGGAAGTTGTGTGGGTTCCAAATAATGTCTCTGTGCCAGTCGAGCTATAATATTTCTATGCTTCTTGTTTACTATGTCAAAATGTATTATTACATTTATGTACTGCCTTTCTTCTGTGGAACTGAAGACAGAAGACATAGAGGTTTCAAGTGGTCTCCCATCCAGACACTGACCAGACCTGCTTGAATTCAGCAGAGTTGCTGCATCATTCGCCTTCAAGTCATGCCTTGACTGTATGTTACATCTGGAAAGCAGAGGGTTTTTTTCCAGTGTTGCTGACACACCTCATTATAGATTTGGTCGGGAAAATTGATCTGGTTGGCTGGCCTGATCCTAACCACCCCCAATTTTCATGGGCCACGTTAACAGGTGGGTGGGGGAGGAGAAGAGGAAGGAGAAGTCCCCATAGCTGTCAACTTACAGATTTGAAAATAAGGGACCAGCAGCCTCACCTGTTCCAGGCACTCCAGTCTTCCTGTCCTCCTGCAGTCTGGTCAAACTCATGCTGGTAGCTTCAAGAACACTGTCCAACCAACTTTGTAACCAGAGGGTCAACTGAATAGAATCTGAATCACATGCGCCACAAGGCCTATGCAGCCTCAACTTAAGATGGCTCCCCGGCCTGGCTTTGCACTGCAAAGTTTGCAGCAGCACGTGCAACAACATGGCGTCCAGCATTCAAAAAACCCCGCAGCTTGCATTAACTAGCCACACACAAGGCATGCAAGCTCCACCCCCCAGTTGTTCTTAGACTTCTTATTGGGTGAGCAACACAGCCAAGCAACACAGTTGGAGCCTCCCTCCTCTCTGGCCGGCAGGGAGGGAGGGAGAGGAGCTGCTTCCTTTGAAATTTAAGGGGCATCATTTAAGGGACATCCATCAATAAGGGACAGCAGCGGGACATGGCGCTGGAATAAGGGACTGTCCCTTCAAATAAGGGACACTTGACAGCTATGAGTCCCATTGCACCGAGTGGAAGTCCACTTTCACAGTGTTGTTGCTTATCTGCACTGGGTGACACCAGATGGTCACCACTAGCACAACAGACTTCTACCTA